TCAATTGGTATCGAGACCTAGGTGATCCTCCTCGCCGAGCTCTTCATCGTCGTCGCCATCGTCTTCGTCGTCATCGCGCCATAACCTCACACGTAGCACCACAAGATCAAGCTCCACTAGCTCCGAAGTTACGACATGGTCTCAGAAGCGCGCGCTAACGAACTGCAAAACATTACACACCCGACCCCGTGCCCGCGGCGCCCTCAGCACCCACCACTTCCGAAGCCGCTCTTCCCTGGGATAGAATCTCAGAAGTAGCCGCCCAAGCTTTAGAGAATCGTTCGTCAACGGCCAACAACCAGCGCGGACCAGCTCCCCGCTTTAACCCCACGGCCAAGGACGCCGACCTTGCTTCGTGGGCCAACCGCCTACGCCTACACTTTACGGTATGCGGTTTGCATGAAGACAGTGCGCCTGCTGTCACCATCGCCCTTTCTGCCATCGAAGGACCTACCCTCGACACCCTCCTCCTCCTCCACCAACGTACCCCCTTCACTTCCTTAACTGCGGTCCTTCAAGCGCTAACACCCCTCGCGCCCAGACCCGATCGCCTCCTCCAGGCACAGATCAGCATGGACACCATTCGTCAAGGCTCAGGCCCGAACTCCCTGGTGTCGTACGTGGCCGCCTTCGGACGCCTCATGGGCGACCTCCCTCACCGTCATGAACTCGATCACGTCTTTCACTTCGCAAAGGGGCTCAACAGGGACCTTCGCGAGGAAGTCTACGCAAGGCTTCCTCAGTACGGCACCGATGTAACCCTGCAAATCATCATCGACTTGGCGATGGGCATCTTTTCCGGGCGCCACAATGCTCATCTCATCGACTACAACACCGCGCCACGCAGCTCCTGAGACGTCCGCCGGGACGACCCTATGGACCTGACCGCCAACGTCTACTCCACCACGCCGCACCACAGCAACTCACCTCTTCTGAGTGGCGTTAAAACCATCGGGGTCCCCTACAACTTGCGCCTCCAGCGCATGGCCCAGCACGTCTGCCTACAGTGCGGTGACGAGTCGCACGCCAAGGAACACTGCCCGGAACTTCGTCGCCTCCTGGCAGCAACCACCATCTCCCCGCCCAACTCCTCCCGCCGGCACTCCTTTCAGGGTGCTAACAACAGCCGCAAGCTGCCCCGCTCGCCTGCCCACTCGCTCTCCCGCTCCTCCGCGTCCTCCGCCTCCGAGGATCGACGATCACACAGCCACCGCGACAACCACAGCCATCGCGGTCGTTCTCCCTCCCGCCCCAGTAACAGCTCCCACGGCCGCCGCTCCCAGCACATCAGCGACAAATCCCCTACCCGCTCCCGCTCCCCAGGCCCCCGTTAAATCGGCTCTTAGGCCGTCGTCAGCAGAACCGGTCAGCCACAGCCTGCCGACATCGTCTGCTGTGCACTCGTCCGAACCCGCGTTCAACGTTCCACGTCTAGCTCAAATCGTCCGCAAGCCTGCCCGCCGTCTTGGTCGCAAGCGTGCTCGTGCAGCTGCAGCATCGACATCGAAGGGAGCATGCCAGGCAAGCAACGATTGGAAAATCGCGCGATCGCTTTTTCTTGAATACGATTCACAGTATGGCCCATTTACCGTCGATGCCTACTGTGATGACCTCGGCTTAACTGCACAGCTCTCGCCCTTTTTTCACCGTCCCGACCTTTCCTATCGACCGACATCGAAGGAGAGTGCGTATGGATGGTGCCACCTGTCGACAACGCCTCCACCATCGTCGCCCGCTACCTCGATGCCAAGACCGCCAACCCCAACACCTCTGCCATCATTGTACTACCCGATCATCCACAAGCCCCTTGGGCCCCCCTCATCCGCCACATGACCATCGTCCGTCGCTTCCCTGCCGGCGCCCAGATCGTCTGCCGCCCCACCTCTTCAGACCCGTCCAGGTATGGAGAACCGGGTCCCAGCCATTGGCCTGTAGTAGTCCTCCACGATCCACCATCGTCAGCCCCCTTTACTCTCGCGTCTACATCCGCCACCCCGCTTCCCGATACCACCCTTCATCCCGTCTCCACCTCGTCACATCCCTCATTCGCTTCCGCCAACCATCCGTCAACATCATCCACATCGTCGGTCAAAACTCTCATCCAACATTTTTCCAGCTCACATCCCCCACCGCCGCCCCAACCATCGGACCGCCCTCCACCACCACGCTCTAATGTCGCTAATCTTATCGCTCGATTCTCGCAAACTCCAACATCCGCTGCCTCTTCCCCACCTCCGCCTACACCAACCGTCAGCCAGCCAGCCCAACCATCTTTCCCCCTCGTACAGCGTCCTACCCCCCAGCCCCACCGCGCTCCTCAAGCTTCACTTCCGCAGATAGACGAACAAAGGTCTACGGTGGAACACCCCTTCATCCCGCCTATCATAGGTCGCATTGCGTCCGTCACCGACAATCTCTCCACCACCCTTATCGTCTTCGATGCCACCATAGCTGGCCACCCCGCCCGAGTCCTCCTGGATTCTGGTGCTTCCCGCAACTTCATCGCCCACTCCTTCCTCCAACATCACCAATTACACTCCGCCAACCTTCCAGCTTCGCAGTCGTTTCGCGTTCGTTTGGCCAACGGACACCTCGCCCTCTGTTCCTCCGCCCTTCCCAACGCCCCCTTGGCCATCCAATCACACCATGAGTGCACCACCTTCTTCACCCTCGACCTTGACGGATACGACGCCATCCTTGGGAAACCCTGGCTTACTACCAACAACCCCCAAATGGACTGGCGTACCAACACCGTCACCATCGGCGACACCGTCATCCCACATTCCTCGTACTGCCCATCCGCTTTTCAGATTGAATTCGTCTCCATCGCCCGCATGCAGAAATGCATTCGCCAAGCTGCCGCCCGACCACCACCACCCAACGCCACCAACCCTCGCAAGTGAGCTCCGTTCAACCCATCACCACCTGTTTACATGGGTGTCCTCCGTCCCATCGAAGATCCCGAAGTCGACCCTGAAGCCCCCCCTCAACCCACCGCCTCCCCGTCCGTACCACCAGCCCTTCAGCCTGTCCTCCAGCGCTACGCGACCATCTTCGAAGAACCATCGGGTCTACCACCATCACGCCCATGCGACCACCACATCGAGTTGGTCCCTGACGCCCAGCCTCCTAAGCAGCGCGAGTATCGCATGTCCCCAGCAGAACTTCAAGAACTGGACAAGCAGCTCAAGAACTACCTTGACCGTGGCTGGATTCGCCCGTCGACGTCACCCTTTGGTGCCCCTATTCTGTTCGCCCGTAAACCGGGTGGTAACGGTCTACGCCTCTGTGTGGA